AGGTCCTAGCCAGCCCCAAGGATGCAGATGCCCCTACATGATCTCTTCCCTCAAGCAGCTGGCAATCCTAAAGACATGACAGAAGTCTAGCTTCATTCCCAGGGTGACTCCTCCAAGTACATTTATTGCTCTACCAGCTAAAGTAATACAAACCACCTACACACTTACAAAAACCAAACAAAACCCAACCCACCACCATCGTCAGTTCTGACTCACAGCGACCCCATTGGGTTTCTGAGGCTGTAAATCTTTATGGAAGCAGATCGCCCCATCTTCCTTCTGTGGAGTGGCTGGTGGGTTTGAACCGCTGACCTTCTGGTTAGCAGCCAAATACCTTACTCATGACACCACCAGAGTACCTTATACACTTACAGGAAATATTAAAATCACAAAAAAATAAAAAAATGTAAACTAAAAATATGGAATACCACTTTTCTTCTGCCAAATTGGCAAAAATGATAATATTCAATGTTGGTGTAACACATTCAAATACTGAAAAGTACAGACTAGAGAAACTTTTATGAAAAGAGATTTAAAAGTTCATCAAAAGGTTTTTAAAAGTCTATACCTTTTATTTATTTTTAATTTTTATTGTGATTTGGGTGAAAGTTCACATAACAAATTCATTTTCCATACAGCAGTTCACACACATTTTGTTTCACGACACTTGATCTGATCTGATTGCAAATCCCCACAATGGAACAGCTCTCTTCCCACTTCCTCCCCGTGTCCTTCTTTCCTATGCATGCCTACCACTCGAGCTATCCCTATGCAAATACTGCCCTTCTGTTCTCCCACGATTGATCATTCTAAGGACTGTATCTACGGATGTTCACGCTATGTGCCTGTCTATTGTTTGGCTGGAAGCCATGGAGTAAGTTCAGCTCCAGACTGAAGGGTGACTAGGGGCCATGGTCTTGGGGATCTCACCAGGCTCTATCAGACCAATAAACCTGGTCTTTTTTTATTTTTTTTTATGATTTTGAGTTTTTTTCCACATTGTTCCCCAACTCTACCCAGAATCTCCTGCACTGATCCCTTTCCAAGTGGGTGACAGTGGTAGTTGGGCACCATCTAGTTCTTCCGGCCTCGTGGTCATAAAAGCTGAGGTTTGCATGGTTCCCTAGTCCCTTGGACTAACTGTTTCCATGTGTCTTTGGTTGTCTTCATTCTTCTTTGCTCTGGATGAGGAAAGACCCACTGTTGCATCTAGATGGCCGCTTGCAAGCTTTTAAGACCCCAGTCGCTACTCACCAAAGCAGGAGGTAGAACAACGTTTTTGGGTAGGATTTTATGGCAATTGAGCTTGATGTCCCCTGAAACCGTGGTCCCAGCCTACTGGTCCAACTACTCACTCCCTCGGGATGGCTGGATGTGGCCAAGAAGTTATCGTAACGTTGACCCTTGTTAGCTCTGTTATGCATACGGTGTTCTCGATGTTATCCCACAATTTGTCTGGTTTTCAGTCACTGGTGTTCATATGTTAAATCTGTTCTTCAGATGGTCTCTAAATTCAGGTGGAATGTAATCGAGATCATATTTTGGCTCTCATGGACTTGTTTTAATTGTCTTCAGCTTCAACTTGAACTTGCATGTGAACAGTTGATGGTCTGTTCCACAGTCAGCTCCTGGCCTTGTTTTGGCTGAAGATACTGAGCTTCTCCATCACCTCTTTCCACAGATGCAGTCGATCTGATTCCTGTGTATTCCATCTGCTCAGGTCCACGTGTATAGCCACCATTCACAATTGTTGAAAAAAGAGTCTGCAATGAGTAAGTCGCTGGTCTTGCAAAATTCTATCATGTGATCTCTGGCATCATTTCAGGGTCTCCAATGAAAAAGCAAGATGTCCTCAGCATGTACGATATGTGATCTTTTGTACAAAAGGAGGGGGTACTTAGAATATATACTCATGTTTGCATAACTCCCATCAAGAAATTCTGGAAGATAAATAATAAACTAACATCATCATCTTGGGCAGTGGTTACAGGAGAGATGGGGAAGAACTGCGATCAGTCAGAGAAACCATCCTTGGTGCTGTGCCTCCCTCCTGTCTCACACTGTCAACCACCCCATCACCAAAGCCCATCGAAGCACAAATGACGTCTCTCTGGCTCTGTCTGCAACGCTGGGTTATCTTCCTGCCTTGGCCACTGCTATGCCACTGCCAGTTACATTACCTGTGTTGGGAATGCCTCTGCCTTTGTTGTCTTATTCAGTTAATTAACAGTGGCTCTTAGGTAATCTGGGATAAATCATGTCTCTCCCTGAATGAGTCTAAGCTTCCACCACTGTTGCCAGCTGCTCATTGTAAAGACTGTATTACCTCCTAAAGACATAGTCCTAACTTCACCAGTATCTGCTCCAGTCTGGTCTCACTGTTTTCACTCAGACTTTAATTTCACATGGAAGTTACCTGTTTTACTTTCCTTTGTAAGTATAAGACCCTTACTTCTGAAACATTAGGAATAAAACAGTAATAAGTATTATGACGTTGACTCCATAAATGTTTCCCTGAGTCAGTCAAGATCAACAGACCCCAATGTTTGTCAGCCCTACCCACAGATATATTTTTAGCATACACTCCTCAGTAGATGAATATTTAGTCATTTAAAAAATATACATGTGTGATTATATTGATACTTAAATTATATAATTAAAAATTAAAATGTGAGGATCATAAAAGAAAAAACAAGCATTTACATTTTTAAAAAATATTAATGGCAGAAAAAACAGTTACTGTTGTTGTCACCAAAAATATTAACAATAGTAACAATATCTTTTAGGGAAAATAATGTGACATAATATGCAATATTAATTTTTACATCTTGGTTTAACTGTGGAATGATTTGAAGGTCTGCTTCTACATTTAATTTATTTTAATACTTGGTTTTCATTGCTTAGAAAGATACCAATACATTGATCAAATGAAGGAGGTATCATTGGTCTCTACATACAAATTTTTTTAAAGATTTATTGAAATTTAGCTAGTAAATTTTCATCTTCCCTGATGTCAGTTAGTAGTTCTTGCAAAATAGAAATATGTTTATGTTTTGTAATAAATGGGTTCAAACCTCATTCAGCACTTTCGCCGGGAAGCTTCTGCAGGAGGAGCAGGCTCTCCTCCAGTCGTGAAAGCAACAATGACGGGTTGGTGCCGACAGCATCCACCGTTTCTGGCAGCCAAACAACACACGCAAACACACACACTCTGGAGCACAACCGGAAACACTCCCAAACATCTGTGTCCAAACCACTTTCTCCAAAGTCAACTCCCTCTGAAGAGCAGCCACCTTGCCCAGGGTCAGATTCCGAATGCCTGCGTGACGCCAGAACCACCTGAGCACCGAATAAAGAATGGACATAGTGGACTACAGCTCGTGTGACACACTGAAAGTCCCTGAGCCCACGTGACAGACATGAGTTATCGGGGGGAGGAAATCTCTTCCGTACAGAAGAACACAAAGCAGTGAAGGTGGAAAGGACAACAGAAACAGAACGTCACCGCACGCCATCTACCTTACTGGTTGGTGGCAGATGCAGACATGAGCTCAACAGGATGTAGTGGCTGGGCTGAGATTCGATGAGGAACAAGATACTGGCATAGGCTCAGACTTCTCACCACGAAACACTTCTCAGTTACCAGGGGAGGTGCCTACCAGGGAAAATACTGCACGATGACTCAGGTTACTACGACCAGTGGCGTGACAGGTGACACTGTTTCCTGCTGTGCTCACTGAGAAGAACACAGCATGGCTTCTGGGTCACTCCAGCCAGCACAGCACAGAGGACCTGCAACTGGACATGAGGGACAGCCAATGAGCCCAGACTGAAGACAAGGTCCACCACGAAAGGCTTTCCTCTTTGAAACTGTCACAAGCAGGAAAGACTGAGGGACCGCTCCAGACTGGAGGAAACTAGAAAGACATGATGGCTGGAAACAACCTGCCATCCTCAGTCAGATTCTGGACCAGACAGGAAAAAGAGACATCGCTGGGGCAGCCGGCCAGTGCTGCACGGGTCGGGATGATGGTGAAGAAACATCTCTGGGACAGCTGGCCAGTGCTCCCTGGGGTCGGGATGATGGTGTTGCCTTGTTGTAATTTCTTGACCCAGTGGTTGTACAGGAAAGGAGCTTTTATTTTCAGGAAAATACATATAGGAGTACGTAGAGATGTTGGCACATTACGTCTGCAACCTTCTCTCAGGAACAGGGTGATCTTACGGGGGCGGGGGGGGCGGGACAAATGCGGTGAAACGCCAACAGCCGAGGCATGGGAGTGGGATATGGGAATTCCTGGTACGACTGCTCTGCAACTTTTTCCCAGGTTTGGAATTATTTCAAAATAAATGATTTTTCTAAAGTGTGTGCTTGCCCATGTGAACAGGTCTGCATATTTAATATCTGCCAGGTATTACATCACTGAGAGCCACCTGTCACCATTCAAAAAGTGCTCCTTACCGCCCACTCTACTGACATATAGACAAAGACACTTCAAATTTGTAACAAAGAGAATGAAACACACTGATCTTTGCTTTAACTTTTCCACACTGTTTAGAGCTTAATGTGTTGATACTCTGGGCATTAAATTAGGGAAATCCATGGCAGCCTCTGACCACTGTTTCTGGTCCCTGATAGGTCAGCCAGCATCATCTGACCTGGCTAGTCAAGACAGACAACCAGCACTTTAAGAAAGCTTGAAAGAGTCCTCTCCTCTAAGCTCAAATGACAATGGCCTCCAGGTGACAATGGCACTGAAAATAAGCACCAACTTCACCCTCAGACTCTCATCCCACATGGTCTATTTCATTTGCAGTAACGAACAAACAACAGAAGCAAGCTGGCGGTCCACCACGTCCAGGCCCCGGCTGAATCGTCATGCTCTCCAGAGGCACACAGTAAGGGGATGACTAATTGCCGCCTGCTTCTCTGCCACCATATGTCTCCCAGTTTGAAAGCAAAACACTGCCCTGTTGGAATGAGAACAACAACTTCCTACCTCTTGCAGCTGCAGCCGGACCTTGGTAACTGCTCGGATCCAGTGCGCTCTGGCTTGGGTCAACGGTGAAGATGCGTTCTCCTCAGGAAAACTGTAACAAAGAAAACAAAGTTCCTTAAAAATAGCCCAGGCCAATCACCCAGGAAGCAAGGTAAGCATGAGCTTACTAAGCTTACTCACTAATCTGGAGTGAACATTTTCACATGTGAAACTCTCCACCTGATTAGTAAGCATTCACAAGTACGCCCATGCTTACCTTGCATGCTGGGTCCTCTGCCCCTGTCAGGGACCGTAAATTTGAGAAGAGGCTTTGATTCTGTAGGAAGATGCTGTGACTGGGAGAGACAGAGGACAGCCATCCCAAGAAGTAGAATCTTTGACGTGGAGAAAAACGTGAGACTGTTTACTAGCGATTTGTAAGTAAGCGCAAGTAAGCCGTGTTGACCTAGCTTACTGGGCAATCTGACACTGAAGATAGCTAAAGCCATTGGCCATCAGCTAATGTGACAGTGCTCAGGGTAAGGCAGCCAGAGAGCCAAACTGAAAGGGTTTGTCCTCGTGCCAAGACTCGTTCAGCGAGTGAGGCCACTCCAACATCAAAATGAAAACAACTCCTGTCACGCCTTTTAACTTTGTACCTGTCTGCGCTCTTCCTTCCCAGCCGCCGTCTGCCCACTACAGTAGCTCACCGGGACAGTTGGGGATCGGGACAAGTTGAATAACCGCAAGGGCTCCACGTCAACGTCTGTGCTGAGACTATGGAAGGAGGCATGGGGTGAGCCTTCCAACCCCCTTCTCTACCTCTCAAAACTAGCAGCCTCTCTCGGGGTCCTGCACAGCATGCTCAGGTTTGAATTTATTCCTGCCAACCTCCCTGTTCCACCAAGTATTCTAGAAGGCTAACCAGTTCCTGTTGTTGTTGTTAAGTGCCGT